TTCAAAACCAAACTAGAGGAAACTGCACCCAAGCAATTATCAGGAGGGGCCAGAAGGGAGCAACAGGAGAAGAGGCAAGCTTTAACCTCATCAAAAATGTGTTATGCTGTTCAAGTTTTCAAGTTTGAAAAACAGTAAAATGAAACCAAAGTAGCCTGTATCCTCTCCTTTGTTAACAATCCAGCCCCTGTCCTGTACACAGACTAGACATACATAGCTCCACATACCTCAGGGGTGAGCAATGTGAGGCTTGCAGGCTGCCCCCTCAGCTCTCCCTCAAGGGCCCCCTGCCAAATTTTCCAAAATGGCAGGAACAAAAACAACAACCCCATCATGTCTTCTTTTTTTACTGGATATGTTTGTGGGGAGCCCCATGAAAAACATTCTGTTTTTAAACTGGTACTGATTCATACACTGAAAATCTAATAACATTCCTGAATACCTTCTGGACGTTCTTGAAATCTTATAAAACAAGATGTACTACACACTTCTTTATGGTGTAAAGATGGTGACTTCAGAGGCAGCTTCTGATGAATTAGTGTGCTTATAACTGCATTTGTCTTTTTAAATATTTTGTAAGCCATCTTTTCAGGGAGAAAGATGGAAGATAAATATGATGACCAAATGAAATGCTAAATAGAACTGTTCCAAACAGTCCAAAGGAAGTTACCACTTGGAATAACAAGTGTTTCTGAGACACAGGAAGCTTTGCATCCCTAAAAGCTGTGAGAAGTCATTGAGATCACTCCATAATCTCCAAGCAAATCTCAGCAGGGTCTTTCCCTAAGGGATGTTACGGCTTTACACATGCCCCTGGCAGATCTCAGTAGGTTAGATTTGAATATTAATTTTTGTTTTGTTGTTGTTTAGTTGTTAAGTTGTGTCTGACTCTTTGTGACCTCATGTACCACAGCACGCCAGGCCCTCTGGTCTTCCTGCCTCCCGGAATTGGGAATATTAATTAGTTAATGCTAAACAACAACCTTGGTGTTGGACTAGAGACCAAAGTCCAAATCCTGCTCAGCCATGGAAATCCATTGGGGGATGGCAATACAGTAGTAAATGTTCTCCTTAAATATCTCACACCCCTTGAAAACCCTGACCAGGGTCACCCTTAAGTCAGATGGAACTTGATGGTACATGGCAACAACAAACAACAGTAACTGAGAAACTAACTAATTAATTAGAGAGCTCAGTCTTTCATGGCAAACGCTTTGTGTAAACAGCTCACTGGTTTCCAGTTACGTCAATTCATGTTTACTGTTAAAATAGTCCAAGCTTTCGATGGCAATATCCTGCACCATCTTCTTCAGGGAAGACAAGATATCAACTTAAACAAAGCTAACCTTAAATACCTCCAAGCTGTGTGGACATTCAGACCAAACTCAGGAAGATTAAAATTAAAGAGTGAGTCCCCCCACATCAGCCAGTACTATTTAAGGACAACTTGCCAAGTCTATCCAGTTTACAAAACAAGGGATTTCAGGAAGCATTGGGGCTGATTACTATATCTGATACAATACTCAGTCAGTCCGGATTTTTCAAGCTGTTGTCATCTAAAATACTGTGAATGTTCTGATATTCTCTCTGTAACATATCTTCCAGTCTGGTTGATATAAGGTTGACCACAGCAGCATGATACTCAATAAACGCCCGGGACTCTGCGTCTCAGAGGGTCTTTTAACTGGATGAACCATTTGTTTGATTCTGTTACTAGGATGGAAAATAGGTTTGATATGAAGCTTGCAAACCAATCTTCCTATCCTTGCTGAAACTTGTCCATAAAAAGGAAGAATGACCACATTTCTTTTATTTCTTCATCTTCTTCCCTTTGTCTAATTTTTGTTATAATCCAGCACCTAATTAATGACACTAGCACCTTATTAAAGTCTCTAGCGGAATATCCATTTTCTCTAAGGATTGACCATAACAATTGGAGCTCATTAGCTAAAGAATCCGTGTCTGACACCACATATTCTCTATAAACTAAAATACAAAGGAGTGATCTTTTCTGGGCAGGATGATGATGGCTGAGGCCATTCAAAAATTGGTTAGTGTGAGTAGACTTTTTATAGATTTTATGACCCAATGTCCCATCTGACCTCTGATAGACCATAACGTCTAAGAATAGAAGGCCCACATCACTCTCTATTTACATGGTGAATTTAATATTTGGATGAAGATTGTTAATATAGATAACACATTTATCCAGGGCCTCTTTTCCATGTGGCCAAATAAAAAAGGTTGCCATATCTGATCCCAGGCATCTACACAGGTTGTAGCAACCCCGTTGCTGTAGAACCTAAATGAGGTCAACAGCACTGCCACACAAGTGAAGGAAATATTGGCCTTGGTCTCCCATGGATAATGTTTGAGCAATAATGCTATTAGATGAAAACCGCAACCCAGCAACCTCTGTGTAGTACATGGCTATCCCTCAAAGGTCTCTGTACACAGGAGGGGTCCAACCAGTAGGAAGTCAGGTTATACTACCTGATCCACAGATGCCTGTGAATTTGCTTCTTTGAATGAAGTACAGAATGAAGTGCCTCAATTAATGGCCATGAAAAAGAAAACAACAGAAACTCTATTGGTGCAAGGCAGGATCCTTTGTCTTATTGATAAGGCCATACTGTTGAACTTGCAAACACAGACAATCAAGCTCCAACCAGTAGGAAGTCAGGTTATACTACCTGATCCACAGATGCCTGTGAATTTGCTTCTTTGAATGAAGTACAGAATGAAGTGCCTCAATTAATGGCCATGAAAAAGAAAACAACAGAAACTCTATTGGTGCAAGGCAGGATCCTTTGTCTTATTGATAAGGCCATACTGTTGAACTGGCAAACACAGACAATCAAGTGGCTGCATTTTAAACCCAATCCTTCTGGTCACCCCACACTTGGCTGAAATTGAAAAAGAGATCCTCTTTGTACTGTTGATTGTCACTTCCTCTCCTCCCTCTCTGCCCCAAAACACTGCGTGTGTTTCCCACCGACCCCCACCGCGATTGTATCGTTGAGTCTTCAGGTCATTAACACGGGTTGTGGTGCAGAGTGGTCTGAGTAGCCGTGAGAGAGAAATACAGCCAATATTAATTTTAAAAAGGGTAAAATCCTTGAGATCAGAAGAAAAAAAATATTCTCCCAAGTCTTCATCTAACTGGCAAAATGGAAACCGACCCTGGCATTTCCTTTTAATTTAGGACATAAATATTTGCCTCAAATACAAGAATCCGTTAAGAGACGTGACACAGAATTCAGCAAGAGTCATACAAACAATGTAATGGACAGGCAGCGGAAGGAGCCATTAAGGAATGCCAACTATGAGCAATCCTTACACAGCCGGAATACTACAAAGACGTCATTATTGCGGGAGAAACCAAATGTGCGATTGTGCAAGGTTAAACACAGGCAGGAATGATGCTGCATTTTAATGTGTTCCTCAGATTGCTGGGTCTGAAAATATTTTCCCACTGAAGTCAAAACAGACCAAATTCACTACATGCCTGTTAGTTTATGTGATGTTGGCTGAACAGATACATCAGAAGGCCCACATATTTGTATTCAAATGAGCTACCAGAGTCTTTCCAAAGGGTTCCCTGGGGAGTGGAGGCTTCGAGGAATGTGACATTTTAAAATATGATATCACTGTGGAAACGCTGTAGTTCTTTTGAGTGGAATGTCTTAACTGCTATCCACTATCAGAAAGGCAGGGGCACAGAAGTATACTACTCTACCTCTAGACAACAGCGCATTGAAACTATTTAAGAGCTGCAAACAAACAAAAAAATGACTAGCCCAAATGTTACATCCCCTCCAAAGTTAACTAACAAGAGAGAAGGGATGTAATTGAGTTTAGCAGTAGAGTGTTGTCTATACACCAACCACTCCATTGAGTAATAGCATGACTTTCCCCCCATTAGTCACAACAGCTTACTAAAAGAGGATTTTGAATTGATTACTGACTGAGGGCACAAGACAGGTGGTGGTTTAGTACCACTTCTACAAGAGAATATGCACAAAAGAGGATGGAGACTTTCTTTGAGGAATGAAGATGTAGGCAGCTCATTGAAAGAACCGCGGACTGAACTGCAGTGTATGTTGTAGATAGATGAAAATTAGAAAAGAAATCCCCAATGTTCCAATTCTGTGTGATTGTCGCAGGAGGAGTTCTTCTCTTCTGTAGTTTGTGGATCTGCCTGCTTTGATTAGCCTTCTGGACACAAGCGTGTTCTCTTCCTCTGCACGTCTCTCACTGACATGAGAGTCTACTTGAGACACAGCTCTTGAATGGGATCTCAGGTCTTGTGACAGCTTATATTTAGTGCAGTTTGGCCCTACAAAGAATAACTGATTATTGTATTGCTTTCACTGAGTTCATAGCTGATGGGAGTGGAAGCCACACAAGGTGGAGGACTGGCACTCCAAAACGAAGTGGCACTATTCTTCCCCCCCACCCCCAAAACTCATAATTGCTTAGATATCTTAAACATGGCATATTAAATATGTATCCTGAATGAACACATTTTAAGACAATGTGAAGTCCCCAGCTGAAAACGTTTAGATTAATTATGGATTCACTGATTTGGGCTCTGCTTGATATACTTAAAGCATCATTGTAAGGATTAATGAATATATATAAGCTAAGATCTTTGAACACTCAGTTAAAGTATTATGGTTATTAATATTTGGGAAGAGTTTCATAGAATAGTTATTACTCTTCTTAGGTGCAAAGTGAATTCAATGACAGTATAATTGCAAAGTACACCCTCATACCTAGACCGAAGGAGGACTTTTCAATTGTGTCCTCTAATCTCTGGAATGAAATGGCAGCAGAGATATGCCAGGCTCCTTCCCTCCATGCATTTAAAGAGATGGTAAAGACTGAATTACAGTGGCAATGAGCGCAAGACAAATTAGCAGATGAACTAAAGGGATATGTGTCAAGAGTTTCAAGGGAAGGGCAGAATCCATTTAGCAGTTTAGCAGTGCATTTACCTCCAAGAGTGTGGTTCAAAGCCAGAGCACATCCCTCTACATCTTAAACAAGGCGCTCCTCTTCCTGATGGCAGCTGGCTAATTGAAACCTGAAAAGAAAGGAAAATACAGTTTTCAAATGCTCCATAACATTGATTCCAGGACAATTGGCAAATGGAAAATATCAAAGAGCATGAAGAGCTACAGAACAAGCACCATGCAATCACCTTCTACTAGAGCAGAGGTCTCCAAACTACAGCCCGTGGGCCACATCCAGCCCACCTTTCATTTTTATCTGGCCCGGTGGACGATTGTGCGGGCATACAGGAGTATGTGTGTATGCGCACATGCATTTCAGCTCTGCTCTCAAAAATGTGGAGCATATATGATATGGCCCTCCCACACTGAAAAGTTTGGAGACCCCTGAACTGTACATGGGGTTATGCAAACATCAAGATAACCTTCAGAGCACACCATTACCAAAGTAAATAAAAAGTACAGCTTCTTCCAGTAACATCTTCTCCTCAACGGTCTTAAAAAGAAAACCCTCCTGAAAAGAAAAGTATTTTTAATGCTGATCAAAAACATCAAGATTGAATGTTAAGAGCTATATATCCTTGGTTTAATTCAGTCATACATATTTCTAGTCTAGGGCAGAGAATTAGATGCGGTATAGAGGAGGAAATGTGAGGCTCCCACACTGCTTTTCTGAGTGCCAGGTTTTGAGTGCCAAATGCCAATCACCTTCACTGTGTAATTCCCAACCTCCAGTGTGACATAGTAGATCTCCTTGTTCAAGTCAGCTGCTTCCAGTTCTTCTGGAATTTGTTTTTTCCTTTTAGGGGACATGTACATCAAGAGTGATATTTCATATAATGGAACCCAATACAGTGGGGTCTTGACTTGAGAACTTAATCCATATTGGAAGGCGGTTCTCAAGTCAAAAAGTCTGTAAGTCAAGTCTCCATTGACCTACAGTGCATTGAAAACCGATTAATCCCATAACAGGCCGTTTTTGTTCCATTTTGGTTTTTTTCTGGTCTGTAAGTCAAATCTCAGTCTGCAAGTCAAACCTAAATTTTGCGGCCAGAGAAGTCTGTAACTCAAAAAGTCTGTAAGTCAAGCCGTCTGTAAGTCAAGGGTCCACTGTAGAAACATTTAAGGCAGATTTCAGTTTGTCAGATCTACTAATGCAGTTTTTTTTACTAGCATGTGAAGAGCCACCAGCCAGAGCCAAATACAAAGCCCTCCCCTTTGAATTAATGAGTGGTACGCCAGCAAGTGCATCCCAAGCTCAGAAATTTGCCTGTTATACCAGAAGTGAACCAAGCTACAATAGAAACCCACTTCTCGATCCCTTAAACCAGTGATTCCCCACCTTGGGCCTCCAGATGTTCTTGGACTTCAAATCCCAGAAATCCTGGCCAGCAAAGGTGGTGATGAAGACTTCTGGGAGTTGTAGTCCAAGAACATCTGGAGGTACAAGGTTGGGGACCACTGCCTTAAACTTTACTTATTTCATCAGGAAAAAAAAGTTATTTTGCTATTTAATCTTAAAAATTGTGACTCAGAAAATCTTGACTGTCAACTACAAAAAAAGAGGAAAAGATCTACCTGTATTTCAACACAAATATCCTTATTCTTTACCCGTGGTTTCTAGGCTGGACATGAAAAGAGTAAAAAAAAAAGTAATACATTCCAGGTTTAACATCTAGCCAGGTTTTTACACAGGGACAAATATATCAGCTCTGTCATTCCTCTGCCATATGCATTCAAACTGAAGACAACAGAATAGACTAGATAAAATGAAATCAGTGATTATAATGATAAAATACAGTGACTATCCCAGGGCATCAACAAAATACACCCTTTCTCTAAATCTGTAATAAACAAACATAGTATTTATTTATTTATTTATTGGACTTATATACCACCCCATAGCACTACAAGCACTCTCCGGGCGGTTTACAATTTTAATTATACAGGCTACACATTGCCCCCCCAGCAAGCTGGGTACTCATTTTACCGACCTCAGAAGGATGGAAGGCTGAGTCAACCTTGAGCCGGCTACCTGGGATTTGAACCCCAGGTCGTGAGCACAGTTTTAGCTGCAGTACAGCGTTCTAACCACTGCGCCACGAGTACACCCCCATCTGTGTGATCAGTATCCACTGATTCATTTATCCATGGGATGAAAATATTACAAATAAAATCCCCAAAAGATATATTTCTAATCATGAAGTTACCGGAACGGGTCATGAGAGGGAGCCAAAGAACATGCTATATATAGCATTTGGTAGTGAAATATATTTCTACAATGTCCTTATTAGAACTGGCTAGTAGAGGGAACAAGAGACCATGAAATGCATCGCATTCACTATTACAATAGCATTTGCTATAATCAGTGTTCTTCAGCATCCACAGAGGGGTTTGGGACCGCTCCCCCATGGATAGAAGGATCCTAAGGTTGTATCTTCCAGATGTTCCAGAGCTACAATTCTCCTAATCTATCACCATTCATTCTACCATATAGGGCTTATGGAAGCTCCAGTATATGCCAAAACTATCCAGAGGGCCTTATGTATCCATTCCTGCTTTAATAATGAACAAGTGATTTATTCTTCTTAGTGTTCTCATACGATTATTTCACAATACTCTTGAAAGTAACTTTTCTAAGATATCATCAAATAAAAATTGAACAGCTAAAATGGGATTGGTGAGGAAAATACCGTATTTTTTGCACCATAAGACACACTTTTTCTCCCAAAAAAAAAAACTGGGGGGAAATGTGCATGCGTCTTATGGAGCAAATACTGTCCCCTCCATGCCACCATCGCTGGCTTCCCAGGCCCCCGGAGGCCTCAGCAGGCCCCGCGGGGCCTCCCCCAGCAACCATCGCTTGCTGCCCAGGCCTCCGGAGGCCTCAGCAGGCCCCGTGGGGGCCTCC